CCTATGTTTATCTTTCAAACATATTTGGAGCTAGAGACCCAAAATCACTGAGGTTGCAAAAATCTCTTACTGTTCCCTTGTAAACAGGGCATTGACCCAACTCAAATATAACCTTCTCTTGCATTGTTTTATTAATTTTAGTAAATTAAGAGAATATATTCTGCTGTACCAAATGCATGTTTCTCATGCATATTTCTATGAAAATAAGCCAAAAGTAAAAAGAATAGTGTAAGTCTCAGCGTACATTCATGTACCTTTATGTATACAGTGACATGTTTGTTTTTATTTTCTCATGTGGATAACATTCATCTCCCTCTTCACTTCAGTATGTTGCCTAGTGTCTATTAGATAATGTAAATTATTACTGACCTCAACACATCTATTGGGGAAATAAATGGCACAGATTATCTGTATCATTACTTATGGTCATTGACACAAAAATATAAGATTGCAGAAAAATTAAGTAAATTCAGGAATATTGCTGAGTTTCCTTTTTATATGCCTTTATTGGGTAGTCAATCCTATGTATAAAATTTGTATGTAAGTGGCTAAAAAGTATTTAGTTAGATAATGAATTACTGTAGATTTATATCTCAAATGTCTATGACATAATTATTTTTATGTATTTATGTTCTTATTTATGTATTTATGTTTTGATTTTCATTTTTTAGTTTGCTATAGGGTACACGTGCTCACTAGAGCGAGAGAAAAAGAGAAAAAACGAGAAAGCACCCCCTAGGGAGGATGGTCACAGTGCAATTCATTCAGCCTCTTGGGATTTGGGGTACACATGCACATGTGCCAGATACTTTTCAAGCTGCCAGGTCCAGGACTTAAACCACACAGTTGGTCATGTGGGATCCAGGTGCCTTAACCACCACATCACGGGCTTACCCTGTTTATTTATTTATTTTTTTACAGGCAGAAGGTGTGTGTGCTAGCCAGAGAGAGAGAGGGAGACAGAGAAAGCAGAGAGAAAGGGAGGAGAAAAATATCTCCTAATAGGGCATGGTCATGGCACAATCTTTTCTTCTCCATTTTCCATTCCGTTATGATTGTGGATGTGCATTCACGTGCATGTGCACGCACATGCATGCATACACACCACTTGTTTTTTAAGCTACACGGGCCAGGATCTGAACCATGGTCTGTCATGTGGGATCTGGCTCCATTAGCCACTAGGCTATGTGACCAATTTGCATATGACATAATTCTTACCTGTTTAAATTATACTTAGTAATGCAACAACATAGGAGCCAGCTGGTTGTACCACAGTACAACTGAACTCATATGGAAAAGGTCCTGTGTTCACATCCCAGGACCTCCCTGAATATGCTGACCATGCATACATGTGCTCATGATCCAGGCCAACTGAGGTGGGAGGTGGATCATGGAGTGAAGACCTTGTATGTTTCTCTCTTGCTCATGAAATGTATGAATAACCTTAAAAAAAGCAAAACAGTGTGAGAGCATACATTAAACTGTAAATTTTGGCATAGTCAATGCATGATGACTCTTACTATCTTGGGTTCTTATTTTCATTAAGTAGCTTCTGACATTTAAAAAATTCAATTCTGAAAAATAGTAATAGGTATTAATTGGATTGATGTATCTGAAATATTAAAATATTTCATGATGTTAGTGAGTCTAGAATTCCAGGATAGGACTTAGTTGGCCTTTTAAAGATGGAACTCCCATCGATGGAGAGTCTACCACATGATATTTGTCATTTCGAACTTCCAGTCATATTGGAAATCAGATGAGAATATGGAAGTCACACCCAATTCTTTGCCATTACTGGAAGCAACTAAACTAGTTTCTTCCAAGATGGTGGGTTTGTAGTTGTCTCCACACAAGGAAGGTATGGTAAGGTACTGTTCTTAATATCTTAAGTAAGATACTTCAGTTGGGGTTGCAATTTTCGTTACTCATTCAGAACATCATTGTCTACCAAATTCAGTTTCTATTAGGTAGTTGAAAGTAATGGCGTATTTTTCTGTTTTTCTGTGCAAAACTGCTTCATGACTTTCCCAACAGCTCAATACATCACTGGCATTTGATTAAATAAAACCTATAAACAAGATTGTTCATTAACTGACTAATGAAAGAGTAGAAAGTTTCCAAAGTCACTTTGGATTCTGATATTCTAAAAAGAACTTCAATATCCTTACTTACAATATTCAAATAAATTTCGTATCTTTTTGCTTCTGGCTATTTTGTCGTTTATACATTTTTATACATAATTTTTTAAATTTAAAAATATTAACACATTTTCTATGATGAAAAATTAGTGTCAGAAACTTACCTTAAACTACATTCTATTTTAAAAAAAACAAGCTGCCTACCCTTGGAGCACAAAAAATTATTTAGAAAATAAGCTATTTTTTGGGGGGGAGAGGTTTTTGCTATAGGGCGTGTACATTTGCCAGAAAGACAGAGAGAGACAGAGAGGCAGAAAGTGAGAAATCACCCTCTAGGGGGGATGGCCACGCTGCAATCCCTTCTCCTCTCGGGATTTTGGGCACACACGCACATGCACCTGGCATGAGTTTAAGCCACCAGTTCCAGGACTTCAACCGTGGTCGACTACATGGGAGTTCAGCGACATAGCCATTATGCCAATTGCTGGTCCGAAAAAGAAGTTATTTCTAACTGCTTATTAAATTCTTATGTTTCTGCTTTCCTCTATAGCTAAAGAATAAAATGTCAATGGAAATTAAGTGAAATTTTCAGTGATATGACTAACTATAGTATAGTTTACATGGTCTATCTCAGCAAACCAGGCTGTTGAGAAGGGAAGCCAAATCTTTTCTTCCTATATGAAGAAGAGGTAGCACAGTAATTAAGGGGACAGAGACCCACTCTACTCAATTTAAATCTAACCCCTAATTTTCTCTGTTGTAAAGTGAAGGTAGTAATAATTCCAACTTCTTAGGGTAATTGTGAGGATTAAACAAGTTAATATATGTAGAATAAGGCCTACCATGTAGTAAGTGCTATATAAATGTTGGGTATCTTTTTTTTCCTTTTTACCTAGTGTATAACTCATATAAGTGAAATTTGTTGTAATTATAAAAAATTTCCTGCAATAGCAGAATCTCCTACTACTTAAAAGTTATAATTAAAGGGGCCAGCACATGGTATGGTGGTTAAGATGCTGGACTCCCACATGGTTAGCCTCAGTTCATGTTCTGCACCTGGCAGCTTGAAAATCATGCTGGGCACGTGTGCATGTTTGCCCAATATCTCAACAGGAGAATAGAGAAGGAATTGCGGTATGGACATCCGCCCTGAGGTGATTCTCACTTTCCCTCTCTGTCTCTCTCCTTTCTGGTGAGCACACATGCCCTATGGCAAAAAAACTAAAAAAAAAAAAAAAAACTAAAAAAAAAAAGTTATAATTAAGAACTCTGTATTCTCAATATTTGAAAAACCTTCATATTATAAGTGAAAACACTGTACTGTTTGCATAGTAAGCTAGTAAAGTTATTCCACTACCTCATCCTTCATTTTTAGAGGAAAAAGCAAAGTTACCTATTGTATAGATCTCCTCACTATATCCTCAATCCCATAAAGCTTTATCTTAATAAAGTAGATAGAGAATAAGTACAAAAACAATTAAAAATAACTATGGTTTTGGTAAACCCGTTCGGCTTTGCCTCACTGTTTTAATAGTCGATCCAGTTTTAGTAAATTAGTATTTCCCCATTCTTCCTCATTTTGGATAGAGTCACATAAAACAGCAACTAGGGGGACCAGCAGTTAGTGTAATGGCCATGTCGCTGGACTCCCAGTAATTGACCGCGGTTTGAGCCCCAGACCCAGTGGCTTAAACTCACGTCGAGCATGTGTGCGTGCATGCCCAAGATCCTGAGAGGAGAATGGAGGAGAAGGGATTGCGGCGTGGCCATCCTCCCTGGGGGGTGATTTCTCGCTTTCTGTCTCTCTGTCTTTCTCTGTCTCTCTGGCAAGTGCACGCGCCCTGTAGCAAAAACCTCTCCAAAAGAAGAAGAAAAAAACAACAACTAGGCATAACCATTCAAACCATACTTAATATGTGTAACTTTGATAAATTTGTAATTAAATCTACTCTTATGGGTATGAAGAGAGGTAACTCTGAAAAAAGTCATTCACTTTTTATGTGCTTTCCTATAAATGTTACTATAGAATATATTATATGTCTAGGAAATTATATGGAGTTTGGATACCTTAAGAAATAGACATAGAGTCTGAATATATAATTTATATCCAGAAATAATGTGTTTTTGTGTTCTTATGTGAAATGTTAACACCCAAGCTGTATGTATCTTTTGAGATGGTTTTATCCTGAAGAATCAAATATGAGGAAAGGTTAATAGTGAGCTTTCATTAACTTTACGTTTATAATTGAGTTTATCCTCTAATACAATTCATTTCTTATTAATAGAAAGTGAGCCTCAAAATAGCAAATAGATGAGGGAAGGAGATGATTTTAATGGTATATTAATATAGACAGGTATTTTATTATCTGGCACATTTCAGACTTCTAACTTGAAGTCTTATATTACATAAATTTGTAATAATTTATTCCTATTGTTATGTAATAACTACCTGTAACAATATCAAGGTTAAAATTAAAGAATTCTGAAGATCAGTATTGAGTTATAACAGTTTTGGTTTTTAATTAAAAGTAACATGTAGATTTTCTGCCTCTTTGAAAATTCACAATAACCAGAAGTTCTCATTTTAACCAGAATCAAATATTGGTATGAAGATTAAAATTTGTTTGACAAATTATTTTTCTTTTTTGTTTTTCAATGGATTAAACAGATATACCTCCAAAGAGGATAGGGGACAAGTGTAAATTGAGATCATATTGAAGCCGTCATAGTGGCAAAATTTAAGGGAAATACTGGGGAGAAAGTAACTGGAAATTCAATAAATTAAAAACCATTAAATAAATATGTAGAAATTCTTTGTGAGAGGAGAAATTCAAGTAGTATTTCATTCTCGTTTTACAGGAAAAGCTATCAAAGTCTTGACCAGTTATCAGCAGAAGTTAGCCTTTCTCAGACTTCACTGGATCCAGGCCAGTCCCAAGAAGATGGAAAACAGGACACATTAATCAATGAAGGTAAGAAAAAAACTTATTTAGAGTTTACTTTTTCCTGTACTATCTACATTTTGGTTGTACAGGATTGTCAGAGAATAATAGTAACATTACTGTGATGTATTCTAGAAATTAAGCTGTTATTATGATTAAAGTTGGTCCGCCTTTCTTATTTGTTTGTGGATACCTTCTCAAAAGACTTGTCTTAAATTGTTACGTTTAGCTCTTCATTTCCTATATTCTTTTTTTTAACCATTCCATTTTGTTTTTTTGTGTTTTCACTTTACTAAAATGATGTTTATCAAGGTGATCAACTACTACCATATTGCTAAAGTCAGTTCTGTCTTCATCCTACTAAACTCAGCAGCTTTTGACACAACTGACCCCTTCCTTATTCTTTATTTTTTCTAATTCATTCATAGTAAAGTATGAGTATGTGCCTGAGAAAGAGGCAGAGGTTGGAGAAAGAAAGAAAGAGACAGAGAGAGAGCGAGAGAGCGAGCGAGAGAGAGACCTTCCACAGTGCTCAGTCACACAGTGATCTCCTTCCTCTAGTCCTCCAGTCCATCTCTCAGGTTCCTAGACACACATATTTGTATGCCCAGCATGCTATCAGGCAGAGTGAGCAAGGGGACTCAAACTGTGGCCAGCACAGGCTTACAACTCTTCAGTTGAGAACATTACTGACCACACCAAGAGTCTGGGCCTCCTCATCTGAATTACTTTTAGTACACTGTTTATTAAGGATTCTGAAAAATTTCAGGAACAAATATAAAAATTTTACTTTTTCCTACTACCATTTTCTGATAGGGTGTCAGCCTTGCTTCTTATTGGGATACATCTTCCTGAACATCTTAAAGGCTCAAATCTGTAACTTTTCAGACTACTTTCATTATAAGGTTCCATTTCAGTTTCTAAGACACAATCTATTCATTCATTCATCAATTTATTTAGGACAGAATTTCAATCTGTTGCAGCCCTCCTACCTCATCCTCACAAGTAGCTATGATCACAAGCACAGGTCACTGCACCTGGCTTTTAGAGGCAGACAGGAATTGAATCAGGCATCCCATGTGGTCCCAGCCTGCCAAGTTACAGCATATACCGGCATGCACTTCGGGTGGATCTCATTTTTAAACATCAATAGCCTAACTGCTTCAAAGCTCTTCTTTTCTCCTTCCCCAACATAGGTTAGTGCTGTTACTCTGGTAGTTTGAATTGCACAGGTGGTGCTGGCATGATCTGGTGCTTACATCTTTTATCTCTTCTCAGCAATTCTACCGGTTGTGGTTTGTATGAGAGCTAGGAGAAGAAAAAATAAATCCCTTACCTCGGGAGAACCTCCAGTCCTCTATGGCTCCAGTTTACCCCCTGCTTTCCCCATTGCAACCTATGGTACCATCAGTCATTATCCTAGATTCTTTTACTCTTTACAACTGCAGCCAGTTTATCAATAAGTCCTGTCTGTTATCTACATTGACTCATCACCTTCTCCATTACTACAACCCTAGTCCCAGCTACCTACAGTAGCCTCTTGGCTGGACTACAACCACAGCTCTTCAATGTGATTTTTCTTCTCTCATTCTTGCCTCCTCACAGTCCACTCTTCACACACTAATCAATGATCTTTTAAAACATGTATCAGGGGAACCAGCAGTTAGTGTAATGGCTATGTCGCTGGACTCCCACGTAGTCGACCGCGGTTCGTGTCCCGGACCCGGTGGCTTAAAACTCACACCAGGCGCCTGTGCGTGCGTGCCCAAGATCCCGAGAGGAGAATGGAGGAGAAGGGATTGCGGCGTGACCATCCCCCCTGGGGGGTGATTTCTCGCTTTCTGTCTCTATGTCTCTCTCTGTCTGTCTGGCGAGCGCACGTGCCCTACAGTGAAAATCTCTCCAAAAAAAAAAAAAAACCATGTATCAGGAAATATTGTAATTCCACTTAAAACTCTTTGATGGCTTTCAGTGCCAATTAGAATAAAATCCAAACTGCTGCTCCTTGTCTCCTACATGAGTTTGTGTTTGCCAGTTTCTGCCCCATTTCATACTATTTCATCCCTTGTTCATTATACCCCAGCACACTGACCTCCTAGCTGTTCCTTTAAGCCAGTTCCTTCCTTGACTCTCTTTGCACTTACTTTTCTCATTGCCCCTAAACTTTTTATAGTCTTTGCATGGTAGATTCTTTATCTGATCTCTGTTCAAATGTCATCTTTCTAAAGAAACTTTCAGTGACTCCATACCTTAATTAACCATCCCCACCTATATCATATTGCTATTCGTTATGACTCTTGTTGGTAGCATCTCTCTCAGATGTACACTTTATGAGGATAGAGATATTATTCCTCTAGTTCACCAGTGTGACACATAATAGGCCCCTATTAAATATCTGTAGATAGAATAAGTACATAATGAGTGTCACAGGATGTCATGAATAAAGTAAAAATTTAGTTAACCAGAAGGCTCAGGTAATGTGAATATTGTATTCAGTTGAATTTTCTGTTCCTTTAAATTGTTGACACATATCCTTTCTTCCACAGTTCCTTTCTCTAGTAAAAAATTATACTGTAATGAAACCATACTTTGGTATACTAATAGAAGGTGTTCTTGAATTTAAAATTTCATAAGCCACCTGAACCAACGACTCCTATAAACAAATATGGAGGAACACTCTATTTAAAACTACTTTTTTTTAGAGAGAGAGATTTTTGCTATTAAAGTATGTGCACTCACTGAAGAGACAGAGAGAGAGAAAACGAGAAATCACCCCCAGGAGGAATGTCCACACTGCAATCCCTTCTTCTCCATTCTTCTCTTGGGACTCTGGGCACACACTCACACGTGCCCAGCATGAATTTTAAGCTGCCAGGTCCAAGACCTGAACCGTAGTCAACTACAGGGGAGTCCAGTGACATACCCATTACAATAATGTGCTGGTATCTAAAACTACTAATTTTTTAAAAATCACATATGTTAAGAAAAGTAATTCAGCTGATAAAACCCAGCCCTAGGAAACAATGGTGAAGCAAGGGAAAAAACAGCAATATAACCACATAATTTTATTAAATATCCTCAAATAAGCAATTAGACATGTGATAAAAATATTTCAAATCAAGAAACAGGATGAAATAAAGGTTACAGTAATTAAACTCTAGAAAGAGATTAAAGAAAAAGATAATTATGTCATAAGTAAACATTAAACTACAAGATGTCCAAAGAAGAATATTTTGAATGAAAACTTAATGAAAAACATTGAGGGAAAGCAGGGCAAAGCAAAAGAGAGAGAATGAAAATGAGATGAAGAAGGAAGTTAAATGAGTTATGAAGTGGCTGAATTGAAAAATAAGCAAAGAACATCAAATTTACATATTAATAAAGTAATTGAATGATAAACACAGTACAGTAGAAAAAAATGAAATACATAATCCAAGAAAGATCCTTAGAAATAAATGGAGATCTAATCAACAATCTGAAATGGTTAAAAAATTACCAGAGGAAATTAACTTGTAGTAATCAAAGGCAAGATATATCCCTCTAAAATGATTAGATAGTAATAATAAAGCATATTTAGGACTTCCAGGCAAAAAGATCAAACTTATAAAAGTGAAGAGAGTAAGACTGGCACAATTGACTTCTCTAGTTGTATAAAACTAGAATAAAAATACAAACCTTTTTATATAATACATAATTTTAGAGGAAAAAAGAAAACTTATAGAAAAAGAAATAGCAGATATAACAGCAAAAATTATCAATTGAGAGAATGCCAAAAGGAATTTACAAAATAAAATGGCAAAGAATACACATAGAGAAAGAAATACACAAAATTATAAAACTGAGTTATTCAGAATGGCTAAAAACAAAGGGATAGAAAAATGAGTACAAGGCAGGTAAAAACATAAGGAAAGCAGTATAGATAAGCTCAGCTGTTGTGGTGCAGGTGGTACGGTGCTGCTGTGCAATTCTAGAGCCACAGGGGAGGCCTGAGTTCAATTCCTGGGTTGACCTGAACATATTAGGCATGTCTGTGCCTGCCAGTGAACCTGGCTGGCAAGGGGGAGATCATGACTCCACAAGACCCTGCCAAGGGCACCTCTTTTTCTCTCTCAGGAAGGAGGGAAAAAAAGCAACAAAGCAGGGTAGCAAACCTGGTGTCAGATAAGTAGAATATAAGACAAAATGCATTAAACATTACAAAGGAGAAAATGTTTTATGTTGAAAACCATAATTAAGACATAATAGAATTATGCACCCAATAATGGCATTTCCCTTTAACAAAATATGAAAAGACATAGATAGAAACCCAGAGACAATAGGAGATTTAAAATAATACTCTCAGTATAAGACAAATCAAATTTAAAATAAATAGGTTATAAAAGAACTAAACAATATAACCAGTAAAGTAGATCTTATGACTATAAGGAACATTACACCCTGATAATAGGTGAAACACCTTCTTCTTAAGTGTAGATGGAACAGCCACAGAAATAATCATTGTTCAGTAGTAAAACAATTCATAAAGTGAAACACTACTAACAGTACTCTCTGAATACAGTGTAAAAGAACCATAGAAATTATTCAAGATTTGTTGTTGTTGTTCAAAAGGATCCTACCTGGAAATAAATGAAAACTCATATTAGATATTGTGGGATTTACCCAAAAGAAATGAAAAGAGGAAAATTCATAATTTTATATACTTTTCTCAATAAAACTGAAAGAAGATAAGTCAGTTATACTTTCCAACTCAAAAAGTTGGAAAAGGGGGAACCAGCAGTTAGCGTAATGGCTATGTTGCTGGACTCCCACGTAGTCGACCGCGGTTCAAGTCCCGGACCCAGTGGCTTAAAACTCACACTGGCAGCGTGTGCGTGCGTGCCCAAGATCCCGAGAGGAGAATGGAGGAGAAGGGATTGCGGTGTGACCATCCCCTGTAAGGAGTGATTTCTCGTTTTCTGTCTCTATGTCTCTCTCTGTCTGTCTGGTGAGCGCACGCGCCCTATAGTGAAAAACCTCTCCAAAAAAAAAAA